TGTATACGCCATTGGAGCTGGTATAATCCTTTCGTTTTTCTGGTGCAAAGTTTTACCTCGCTTGCTATCTGTAAACTTTTTTACAGTGCATAGATTGTTTAGAGTTGGCTTTTCGAGTTGTGTCTGGGCTTGACTGAGGCATGCAACATATCATCTCCTAATTTCTGCTATCACTGTTTGTCCCCTTCTTTTTTACTTGGGGCTTGGGAGCTTTCAGCAGTGTGGTGGTGATCAGTTGCAGCTTCTCGGGAAAAGCTGATCTCCAGATTCCTGAATTTCTTGTCTATTTGAGATCGGAATAATTCCCAGAGTAGTCTCATCTGTAAATAGATCAAGAATGTCAGGGCATCCACAGTTTGCGGCTGATACTTCTATATACTGCAATATCCTTCTTGAAATCATGAATAATAACATTACGCAATGCTCTAGTTCCCCTGATTATGGCAGTATAACATCATAGTTCGATCTCTATTTAAACACCAGAATTGCGCGATACTGTTAGTTGCTTAGTTACATATGAAACCACATATTTACACGCTATTTTCTACTCAATAGGTATGGTAGCAGCTCTTACTAATGAAAGTGCCACGAGCAAGTCAGTATACTTTGCACATTGTACATCTGAGATGATATTCATTACACATCTCCTGTCGGAAGGACCCGAGAAGCTTGCAGGTCCTCTTCTGGCTGATACATATGTTACCCTGTTGAAAGGTCGTAATGCTTGGTATGGCCAAAAGTTGGCCAAGGGAGAAATTAGCCTTGATATGGGTGACAGCATCAAGGGAAAGGGAATGATACAGGTATATTGTAGAATACTATACATACAGTAGTGACTAGGAGCGTGTGACCAACAATAGATCTCTAATGATAGTCTGCTGGAGTCTACGTGATTTTATATAGTTAATATAAGATATGTTTACTGATACTATTTCACTTATCAAAACAAAAAACGCAAAAGAAATGTCTATTGATTAAAAGACATTTAGCATCCTTTGAAATTGCTGTTTCCATAACGTTACTGGTTTAATTTATGGAGGATTTCGTACCCAACTAGAGCTGCAAGAGAGTATCATGTATGTATGCTAACCTGCTGTCAATTTGTGCAGGGAGTTTCAGCAGTAAAAGGCTTCTATGAGCTACTAAGTCAGTCCAGTTTAAATGTTTATCACCCTGATGAAAATAAACATGTTGCTCCTGTTGAACTTTGTCCCTTGTTGAAGACATTGCACAAAATACTGATAGTGAGGTACTTAAAATGCTCGCCGCTTTCCTTCTTATGTTTGCACTTGTTTTAGTTAAAATAAAAAATAATCTGACTACTGTTGCTGCGTTGAAACTACAGGGAGGTTTCATCAGAGGCAATACTTCAGGCTTTGAGAGATGAAACTATGAATGATCCGCGTGATCGTATTGAGATTGCACAAACCCATGCCTTCTACAAACCTTCATTACTTGGGCAGTAGCCTTTATTAAGAGGCCTTTGCACACCGCCATCTTGAAGATTGTTGTATCATGTTTTTTCATTTATTCAATCTTTTGCTTCAGAAGTCTCCTTTTCGCTTCTTGAAAATTCTTCTAAGGAACATGAGTCCAATATTTGATGAATCTTGTAAGAGTTAAATAGATGATTCAATCTTTAGAGATTAATAATTCCAATATTTGATGCAAACCACGTTTAATCATCAAACTAGTTTTTGTAACCTAAAGAATCACCAAATCTTTACCACATAGCTAAGAATATCAAGAAACGTTTCAACAACTTTATCTTAAAGTGATCAGAAATAATTCTTCAAAAAAATGCTTTTTTAAAAATAGTTGTACAAATAAGAAAATGTAATTAAAGAAGTTTTAACCATGAACCTTATTAACTAATCCAAAGAATGTAATATGTCTTGCAAACAAAAATTTAAGCTGTTATAATTCCATGCTTCGATTCCATTTCCCAGTAAGGAATACTTATAAAAGAGGGAACATATAGAGAGAGGAGTTTCCTCTTTCCAGAACGAAAAAAAGAAAAAGAAATAAATATGTCTTTGGTGGACTATGCATCCTCCGACGAAGAAGAAGAGCTTAAAGAAGATAAACAACTTCCCAAAGCGGAGGAACCCACCCCTCCTCCACCCCCTTTACATCCATTACCTACCAGAAACCAGAATCCCCATCTTCCTCAGCCGCAAAACCAGTTAGTAATCCTTTGCATTCAGTTTAGTTTTCTATTTATAGGGTTTTGTTCTTTATATTTCTTTGGTTTGTCTCGTGTTTCCTTATGTTTCCTCAGTGTTCTATGCCCGAAATCAAGCGTCCCTATTTGAGATTATTTGTGGGTTTTAGTTGTTTTTGCCTGATGGGTCATGTTTTTTTTGTAATTTTCTTGGACTTGGACTGTGAGTATAACAAAGAAGGTATTGTAGAACAGAAAATAAAAAGGAAAAAAGAAACTGAACTTTGTGTAACTGATAAGCTATGACATAGAATACAACTGTAAAGTAAATTGGAGCAGCAGGGATTGACAACAGATGGCATAAAAAAGTATTCTTGCTCCTTGTCACAATATAGAATAAGAAAGTAATCTTGCTTAATTTGATAGGAATTGTGCTTGTGAACTTGTGCTCTTTAATGACTAATGAGCTACCATAAAGGAACAGATGTTAACATAATGGAACATCTCTTAATTGAATGATTAATGAGAGGAACTGCCTATTTGCTTAGCCCAAGGGGATGGGTAGGAGCAAGGGTGATGGGAAGGGAAAGAAAGGAGGAAGAACAAGGGAAAGAAAATGGATCTGGCCCTTCACTTATTGCATTCACACCCCTGCTGATAGAACGATGCCCCATTGCTGCATTATCTTGGAGCAAAGCTAATCCGAGTATTGTCCCACACTGCCTCTTAGATAGAGGGAAGAGTATGATACAGGGTGGGATAAAGTAATAAGCCTGCGGCAGTTTTTCTGAATTTTTGCTTTTTGCTTCCACATTTATATGTAAAATATGCATAGGACGGCTGGTAGCATGGGATTTCTTTTATTGTTTTTCTTGATAAGTTGGCAGCATGGGAATTGGTTAATATGATAGATTTCAAAGTTTTGAATGCCTAAGAGCACTTCAAAGGTAATAGTTAAGTGTAGTTTACTGTGTTAGAAAGAATGGCGGGTGTTGGCTGAGAATATCCAAAGCGGATACTGGGGACTGGTCAGTCCAATAGTGTGCTATAAAGCTTTTGTCTTCTATGTGGTTGCCTTATGCAGTCATTAATAAATTTGCTTCGTTTGAAAGGGTAAAATATTCTGAAAATCCGACTCATGCAGCTCAACTCTACCTTTTGGTATGCTACTGTTGATGAGTAGTCGAAGCATATGATCTTATTTCTTCAACTTTGATGGTCTAGTGAAAACTATGGATGACATGCATTTGGAGGAGGAATTTTGCTTTGTACTCATATAATGATGAATTGCAAGTTTATACTATGGTATTGCTTCAACTTGCAAATTTGTCCTATGGCAATGCTTCAGTTATTTTGTTGCATATGCAGGGGGACAAGTTCGTCATTAAATAAAGAAGCATTACACTTGTCAAGCTCATCAGAGTCCTCTGGATTGAAACTCCCCGATGCATCACTTCTCTTGAATTCACCCTCCATGCCAGTTGGACACTTTACTGATCATTCTTCCCGAGTTGCAGCAGCCATGGCTGAAAATGAATCACGGAAGCGGGATACAAATGTATCCGCATCCACTTATCCACGCAGTAAGATTCCTAAAGGTACTTTGCCTCACATGAAGAATATCCCTGAAACAGGAAGTGGTCTTCTGGTCCCACCTCAACTTGCTGGAAGGTCAGTTTGATACTGAAATTCTGAGTCTCGTCGCATGATCTGTATTAAGTTTGTCTATATATGCATTTTATCATGCATCACTATCTGTTCTTTTGTTGTTCGGGCCTATATAATGTGCCCAATCCTCCTCAAGTTGAATATCCAATTCTCCTATTGCGTTGTTTGTGTAAATTGCCGAGTTTTCTACCGATAAATTAGAAGTCCAATTTTCTGAAAAGAAAGTTTTCTCTTGTATATAACAAAGTTTGGGCCTATTTCTATTCATTTCATTTCAACCATGTCAATCACAGAAATTCAACTTGTAAGGCTTGGGATTAGGGGTATTCGTCGGTTGGTACTGTATAGTATTTAGACATTTCGGTTTGGTATTTTCGGTATTTGGTTTTTTAAAATACTATACCAATACCGTACCAAATTAAACTCCTTTCAGTTTCGATTTATTCGGTACGGTAACTTCAGATTGTTCGGCTTGAATATTAGCTAGTGCATAGAGTCATAGACTGTAATATTCTTAATTAAAGTACTCACAAATATAAAAATAAAAACGTTCTAAGTTTACCTAACTGTTGATAAAATCTTTAATCAAAATTAGCAGGTATTACCCATAGAGAGAAAAATAAGTTCATAAAAGAATAAATTTGATCATTGCAAATGTCTTGTTACTTGTTTAGAGCTATTTGCTGACCTTAGAGAATACAACAAGGAATAATCCAACAGATACAACATTAATACACGAGTAAAAAACACCCTAAACTCATAGAAACATCACTTTAACTTGCTTGTCAACCTGGAGAATAAGAGTCAAAATCTGTAGCGTAACTTGTTCCTCTATTTTCCTAAAGGAGTACATGGGCTTTATTGCCAGCCTCAACATGAATGCCAAAGAAAAGTATTATATAACTTGGTACATTATAATCAATAATATGTGTATTATATAACTTTAGTATATATTTCGGTACTGTTTCGGTATTTCGATATTATTTTTTTAAATACCAAATATTATACCTAATACCAAATTTTTAAAGACAAGATTACAGAATAATGCACTCCATAAGTTGACCTTGCAGTATTTTAGCCCACTTACAAGTTTGCAAATATGTAGCCAAATATCAATAGGCTTAGATTTGATTTTTTTTTCCGTTTTTTTTAATTCTTTATATCTTCAGGCGTGAAACATCAGTGAGTTTCCATTCTCCTTTTTCCTCAAGTTTATACAGACCTATCACAGCTACACAAATGCAAAAACATACGCGAGAAATCTAAAATCCCATCTCCTTTAATGCTAATCTTGTTAAATTTTGATTATGATTTTATAAGAAATTTGGAGTGGGTATTGTTTGAACTTATTAGAAATAGTCTAAGTAGGTTGTATGAAAAGTTTGAAGTCGTTTGATGGAAATTTGGACTTTTTTTTTTAAACCCCTCCCAAATTAGGAGGATCTATAGTGTTTCCACACTTCCCCTCCAGCGTGACTCGAACCCAAGACCTAACGGTCGTGGGTGGAGGTGCTTTTACCAACTGAGCAAGCCACTCCGTTTTTGGGAGGGGTTTGCAACTAAACAAGAATTGCAAAAAGTATAAGCATCTCCGTTTTTTGGACTAGTTTTAAACAAGAATTGCAAGTGAAAATCGTACACAAAAAATTTGTCAGAGATGCTTATACACTTTTATACAATATTATATACTTTTATACAAATAGGTACATTACATATATAGTTGTATAAAAGTGTATAAAGATGTATAAGCACAATAGTGAAAATGTTAGTGATACACTATGTATATAGGTGTAGTAGTTGAAGAAGAAGGGAAGAAGAAGAAATGTGAGAAATCCACCAAATACTTGTAAATAATGTATCAACCTTATATAAAATAAGGTATAAGAGGTGTTTATACACTATTATACATTACTTATACAATATTATACACTATTATACAAATGAATCCTATTAATGGAGTTTCACGAGTTCTTCTTCTTCCTTGGGCATCTTTTGAAATTCAACTCAAATCTTGCTTAAATCTGCTCCAAATTCTATTAATGGAGTTTCACGAGTTCTTCTTCCTTGGGCATCTTCTGAAATTCAACTTAAATCTGCTCCAAATCACTTCAAATTTGAGTTTTGAACTCCCCTTGATGATCCCAATCAATTGGGACAACACCCAATCTGCACAACTAACAAAATCGAAAAATCCAATTTCTGAAATTGAAGCTTCGAACGACCTTTAATGGTGACTCAAAAAAAAATAATTCTCTTACGTAGTATTTTTTTCTTCTCATCTAAATAGTATTTATCAACTTTGAATCTGGAAGGAGAATTGAAGAATAAATATAATGGTAGAAAAATTTTGGGGTGCAAAGTCGTGAAAGAGGAAAAAGAACGGAGAAAAGAAAAAAAATAATCAAATGGGGTGGGCTAACTGGTGAAAAGTAATTTTCAGATTATGTACAACCTGGGCCATATCAGGTAAGGGCTTCAAACGTGGGTCATTTTTTGATGGACTGTTGGGCCAAGTGACAAGGAGCGTAATTCCCCCATTGTTAAAAACCTTAAACCAAATACCATACCACATACCAAAATACCAAATGCTAAATGCCAAATGCCAAATACCAAAAATTTTGGTTTCGGTACCCTATATGGTAATTCCTTCTTGGAAAAGGAAATTATGGCAGATGACCCAAAATTGATGAGAGCGTTGTTCCCATGGTCAAAGTAGCTTAGACTCGGGGTCGAGTAAAAATGGGGATTGGTGAGTTGTAGGGGCTTGATGGTGGGTAATTGCTTACAAAAGGTACTTTTAACCAATAAGTTTTAGAGAGCGTAGGGAGAGGAAAATCGAAGGCAAAACAGTGACGGAAATAAGCAAATAGAAGGGTGGAGAAAAATGAAAAATTTACGAATTAGATGATATCATCAGTTTCCTTTGGCATCATGTCTTAAGTTGGATTTGCATCACGCGATTTAAAGAAAGCGAAATGCTCAGAAATTATCTTATAGCTGACCTATCCGATACAAATGCTAGTCTTTCCAATGCTACAGCTGTACAAAGCACTTGTGGACTATATGACCTATTCTTTCTTTTATAGAAGATTCCTAAAACATACTAGGGAGCCATGTTTTAAATTCTTTGGTGGTAACAGATGTTCTAATTATGAGTCCTAATGGATGTATTTGATTAACTTTGTGCAGGAGCAATGTTGTTACAGAAGACATCAGCAAGCTGTTTGTGAAGAAGACCCCGTCTTAGTTGCACGCACCAGTTACAGAAATCTCTGTTGGCCTGACTGTAGTTTTATTTCAGTAGATTCTATAGCAGATTCTCAAAAGATATTAACCGCATTGTTCTAAGATATTATATTGATACTTGATGATTGTATTGACTACCAGCAGTTTTGGTGAGTTTGAAGTGATCAACTGCTTTCTGTACATAATTTTTGCAACCATATATTCTTAGTGTGTTGATTGGTTCTCAAAATGTGTACTTGCAAGGCATCAACATTTTATTGAATTGAATAATTGCCAGTTCACAGCTGCATTAAGCCTTGGTTTTCATAGGATTTGTTACGGATTTATTGCAAGTACTCATTATGAGGCTGCCTGAATTTGGGTGCAGGATCCAGTGTTGCTATTTTTGTCCCACTTGAGAACTCTTTATATATTTGTATATTGAGTCTAGTCAGGTTTTTGGCTGCCAGACGCGGTGGTGGCTGCTAGAGTAAGAGCGAAGTAAATAACGCTGCTAAGGTGGCGAGGGTAGAGAAAAAAATATGACTTTTTTGTTCAAGATCTCAACATAACTCTGATCATGGTGTGAGACAAACATCAATCGTGTAACCGAAGCATAAATGCATAAGTCAGCTGTGTGGTTATCCAAACTCGACAGACACCATGACCGGAAACGGGGAAGATACACGTTACACTACGATTTTGAATCAGAAGAGAGCGTAGTGCCCGACGACAAGCAAGAAAGCTAGTTGTGACAATGGACTGGCCAACCAATAGACACCACATATGGTGTCCCCTGTTAGAGATGTCAAATATTGTCTATAAAATCCTTAAAAATATGTAATCCATCCAACTCGTCCATTTGACATTCCTAAGTCCAAGAAGGAATTACCGTATAGGGTTAAAGGTCCTAGTGGCTAGCTTATCGTCACTAGACGGTAAACTTTATTAGTAGGTCTAGTGGTGGCAAAATGGGTAAATAATTATCCATCCATTTATCCACTAAAAAATAGGTAAAATATGGATAAGATTCATATTATCTACTTAAAACTAATTACTTAATGGATAATTAATTGATTTAATTTTTACATTTGCAAAAGACTCAAACCGAATGTTCCTCAAATTTAGAAGACTAAATATTCTCCCAAAAGTGATTACATTCAAGAAGCCATGGTTAATATGATGAGTATCCATATTATCCACGGGCTAATTCATTTTTTATTCGTATTAAATATGGGCGGGTCAAATATTTTTATCCGTTTTCGACCCCTCCATATCCGATGAATTGGGGTTTAGGGCTTAGTTGTTATCTATATTAGTAGTTAGGAAATCTCCAAATTCTACATCAAATTTGAATTTGGACCAAAATTATGTACTACATTATTTAGGGTAAAAACTCTTCGTGGACAAATTGTTCGGAGAAAACGGTTATAGCCTGTTTGGCCAAGCTGCAAAAATTAGCTTATTTTGAGAAGCATTTTTTTCTCAAAAGTGCTTTTCTCTAAAGTACTTTTGGCGAGAAGCAGTTTGTGTTTGGCTAATTAATTTGAAAAGCACTCCTGAGCAGCAATTAATGTTTGACCAAACTTTTAAAAACTGTTTCTAAGTGTATTTTTCTAAAAAATACTTTTAAAAAAATTTCTTTTGAAAAGAAACTATTATTATTATTATTTTATTTTTTTCTTCTAAAAGTTGGGCCAAACATTAACCTTAAAAAGCTTGCTCTGCCAAACAGGATATTAGTGTCCTGCACTTAGTGTCGAGACCGCTCAGTGGAGATACATTGAGAAACACTCCATTAATGGATGCTCCTCAGCTGCTCAACACACACGTCAAGCTCTTGGCCTTCGACTTCCTCACTCTAAAACCAATCCCCCACGACTCCACCTCCTTTTCACGCAAGGGGACGCGGCTTTCGCGCGCAGAGACAGTGGGGGTCGTCGTAAGCAGAGACTTTAAGCCCAATAGATTTCTCAAATTCGACATTGACGATAGCACGGGTTGCATACCTTGTGTCCTGTGGCTCAATCAGGAAAGTTCGCGTCACTTCTCCCGTCGTAGCCCATCACATGTTCGACTAATTTCCCAAATGGCCGCTGATTTTGCTTCCCAAGTCCAGATTGGGGTTCTTGCAAGAGTTCGTGGGAGGATCACTAGCTTTAGAGGTAACCTTCAGATTACTGTTTCTGATGTTGTTATTGAGAGGGATCCCAACTCCCAGATTCTGCATTGGCTAGATTGTTTAAGGTTGGCTAGGAATTGTTATGACAAAGTTGCGGTTCCTCGTAAAGCCTGAGTGATCATTCTACTTGAACAGAAAATATTAACGTAAAGTTTCCTGCTATTGTGAAAATTCCAATGATTTACTATACCTTCCCAATGAATCCATGAATCATGATGCTGGAATTCCTGCTATTGTATAAAGGGAAGAAACATCTTGGCCAAATACATCAACGCCCCCTAAATTTGGCACTACTTTTTTTCCTTATTATACACTTTGTCTTAGGTTCGACTTATTAAATACCTTACCTTCTCAAAAATGTGCCTATTAAACATGTATTGCTCACCCAAAGCATCGCATTTTCCTCCCAATATTGAGCTCGTATTGTCGAAAAATATGAAATTTCGCAGGATAAAAGTTGAAAGTTATTTTTAGATGGAAAAAGAAAAACAATAAGGATTATATATAATACTTCTCTTTTTCAAACTCTACTTTAGAACCCACAATCTATAATAATCTTAGGAAGTTATATAACGATATGCTATCATCTTTTGCATCTTGTAGGATTTAGTTGTCACAACTTCTAGTTTTTACACAGGAACAGTTGAAAGAAAGTGAACAAGTATACTTTATGGTCTGACCTTATTATCTTACCATACTTTACTAGGTCTTAGTTAAAAGACCATTAAATTTTAAATTTCAAAAGATAAAATTTTAAACTTTTATCATATGTAAGGCACATGACATTCGTGAAAACTAATTCCAAATAAAACGATGTGATTAAGATTGTATCAATATTCAAAGGTTTGAATATGCTATTACCTGAAATATATCTTCTCACAAGATCAAAAATTTATTTAGACTTGGATCACACTGCTATTGAAAGAAATATTCCAAATTCATTCTTTTTACAGAATAGGAATCTATACCATCTAGAGCATTAGAAAGGTTAGACAAAACCATCTTACGCTCACGACTCACAAAATATTAGTTTGGTTAACTAATGAAACAGTCCAAAACCAAACTATAAAAAAGGACAGCATAATTTTTTTTAAAAATAAAATAGAGAAGAAAAAGTAGGAGTTAATTTCACGAACCTTAATTATCTACTAAAACTGTAAAATAACTTAACTATTTTCTTGAAAATGCAGCAAAAAAACAGTTTTGTGACTTTACTGTCAGGGAAAAGGTCAATGACCATTATGTGAAATTAACTTGAAAAAACAAGGCTTTTAATCTCCACCACAACTGCCACAACCACCACCATCACCACCGCAACCTCCACCACCGCAGCAACAACCTTGTGTAGCCATAACAGTTGCCTCAGCAGCAGCTCCTAAATCAATTGTAACTTCAGCACGCTTTCGCTCATCGTCGACAGTAGTACTATCGTTTGCTGAAACGGCTGTTACAGCGGTTGCACCTGCACCAGCTCCTGCTAAAACAACCATGTTTCCATCTCTTGTAGTTCTGCTTCGAGATTGATCACTTCTTTGCTGTAAGTTCCTTCTATGGTATGGGCACAGTATACCCGGTAAACAACCAAGAAAAATAAGACAAGCACATACTATGATAATAACAATGGCTGTATCCATCTTCTTAAATGCAACCCTAAAATTAATTGAATAATTTTATCAGCGTCCTTTTAAAGGATCGGATCAAGTATGACATTGTCCACTTATATAATACGTAGAAGAAGTAAGCTTTTCAGACTTAATTTTCCTATGAGCTTTCGAAGAATTTGATGTCTTAGGTTGTTGGTTTGTTATTTCATGTTTGGCTTCTACTGACCTATTTCTTTCTCAGCTTTTCTTCTTTGCCTTTTTAATAGTTTATCCAAGAAGGACGGCAAGAGGAAGCTTCTATGCCGTGGCGGATGTAGTGTATTCGGGTTCACCCAAATCTAAGTACTTTTGACACGGGAGATAGATATACATGTTATAATTAAACTTTGAATCCATAATTTTAAGAATTTAATACGTACTAAAATTCTTAAGATTGAACCTATCATTTATTTACAGAGGCGGATCCAGGATTTTAAGATCATGGGTGCACTACGATACTTGTCATAATATCAAGTAATGTATATTTTTTTTTTGTGTTTTATGACATTAATAATTTTGCACATTATTCAACTAGATAAGCTAAATCTTGGTAATCTAAATCTGTCTTTGTCATTAATATTATCAATTATAATTTGACAATCATTGCATAATGTTTATATAAAAAGGGAAAGTAGAATACTAATGAAAATCTAATAATGTAAAAATTGAAACTTCGCAAATTTTATAGCTAAAAGAAGAATGAAAATATCAAAAAGCTCTTAGAGCATATGACGAGTTCTTTATATGTGACTTGCTTATCCAAAAAAAGAAGAGTATATTTTATCCTAAAAATTTGAAAAAGAATTTCATTAATTTGATTGAAATTCAAATATGTTTAAGCAATAATTTGGGATAAAAATATTTAATTAAGTCTAATCATGAACTTAGATCTTATTATCGCATAAATTATTTATAATAAAACCAATTTATAGTGGTTTAAGATAAGACAAATCTCAATGGAAGTAATAATTGTAGTTTAATCTTCGACTCCTTAAGTTGTTGTTTACCATGAAGACTTGGAGAAGGAGATAAAAAAAGGAAAGAATGATAAGAAGGGGAAAAAATAGAACTAAAAAAAAAAGAAGCTACGAAGTATAAACTAAATACGTAGTATTATATTAACGTGTGTCCATGGAGTCTCGACCGGAGGCATCAATGCCAAAATTTGAGCATGGGTGTCATCTACTCTATATGGCTAAATCATTGAAAATTTGTACATAAAATGATTAAAATCTACTTTTATTTGGCAAGAGGATGGGTGCATATACTCCACATTTTCTTACACAGATACGCCCTGCCTATCAAGATTACTTCTACGTTATGCATGGCGATCAGCAAGCACCCGATCGAGGGTATCTAAATATTTGAGCCTTTCCTAGTTAAACATTCTTTAATTTCTTATTGAAGACCCGTAATTAATCGATTGCCTTTTTTTTTTTAATAGGAAGTCCGGGAAGGAACTTCTCAAACCATGCGAAATTTGGTAGCTTTTTATACTTCTTTTTCCCTAAATCAGTTATTCCATATGTACTTCCTATAGCTTCTTACTTTTGGCTATGTGCCAGAGTATTGTCACGATCCAAAATTCACCTAGTCGTAATTGCACCTAACCCAACCCGTCAGGTAAGCTAATTAACAACTATCCAACTAAATTAATATTTGACTGACTCTAATACACTCCCCAAGGACTGGTAGTACAAATCATGAGCTTCTAAGATTAGAATTTACAAAGTTGGTATGAAATAAATACATCGTCTGTTCGAAATGTACATAAACAGATTTTTATAAATCTAAGGCTACCTTGAACAAGAGGCAGCTACAATCGAAACACATGTACATCTTCAATTCCAGCTCCCGTCGATCACAACAACATCACCAATCAACATCTACACGCAAGGTGCAGAAGTGTAGTATGAGTACAACTGACCCCATGTACTCAATAAATAACAAACCTAACCTTAGGTTGAAAGTAGTGATGAGCTGGAACAAAGGTCGAGTCCAATACCAATAGCAAATAACAGTCCATAACAACATAAAACAAGTAATAAAAGAAGTAACTGAGAGATAAAATACTCAGCTTAATCATGATTTCTGAAAATAGTTCTGCCTTTCAAGTGCATCAGTGAAAACCCAAGTCGTTTACCGAAGTTTCCAAAAATATGAGTAAGTTTGAAAACAGTAATTTTTCCCAAAACTCCTTCCAACAATAAGTAAGATGTTTTATTTTCTTTCCAGATAGCCAGTGTAAAATGTATCACTATGCCCATATGTCAATATGTGTGAGAAGTCATGAATGACGTGATACCGTATAACATGAGGAAAATACATCTCTATGCATGTATGTCATATGTGCATGTCAATACAACGCATCTCAGAGATGAACTCAGGTACTCACACTCTCAGAGTACTCAATCTCACTGTCTCACACTTTCTACTCATCATGCACAATCACTCAATACTGTATGTGTCCAATCCGACCCAGGGAAGATCCATCCCGGAATATATACATCAACTGACCATCAGTCACTCAATACTGAGTAAGGCCAATCCAGCCCGTGGGGAAGATCCATCCCCAGGTATAAATGCTTCGGACAAGATCCATCCCTCAATATAAATCAACTGCGCTCACTAGGGGTGTGTGCAGACTCCGGAGGGGCTCCTTCAGCCCAAGCACTAAAATCCGCATAGACAGCTCACGTGCTACACTGATAACTCACATGCTATAGTATCAATATCTCAAAAATAAGGCCCTCGGCCTCACTCAGTCATCAATCTCTCCAGTCTCTCGGGCTCACAATGAAATGAACTAGTCCAAAATGATGATATGATGTATCAATAAATAATAACGGAGACTGAGATATGATATGCAATGAATGGACATGACTGAGTATGAAATTGTAATGTAAGCAAATAACTCAACAACAATAATGACCTCAGTGGGTCCCAACATGATAAGAATATAGTCTAGACATGGTTTCTAACATGAATCACAGCTCGATAACTGTACGTATAGATTTCATGATTATAGATAAGTTCATGTAACTACACAGTACCACAGAAATAACAGAGTCACAGTTCACACGGTGCACACCCACACACCCGTCACCTAGTATGTGCGTCACCTCAATACCAAACACATAACACGTATAGTCAGGGTTCATACCCTGACCTCCAAGATTAGAAGAGTTACTTACCTTGAACAAGCCGAATCAAATGTCGAGCAAGCTAAACAATGCTCCAGAAATTCTATTTTGCGCGTATCAACTTCTGAACGGCTTGAATCTAGTCACAATTAATTTGATTCAGTCCACAAAAATTATAGGAATTAATTCCATACTAATATACTAATTTTTCCCACAAAATCCGAAATTTCACTCAAAAATTACCCGTGGGGCCTATGTCTCGGAACCCGACAAAAGTTACAAAATATAAACGCTCATTCGACCACGAGTCTAACCATACTAATTTCACTCAAATCCGACTCCAAATCGGTGTTCAAATCTCAAAAATTCATTTTATGAAATTATACAAAATTCATTAGATTTCTCTTGAAATATTAATAGTCTAATGCCGAAAACGAACACCTATTCATGCAATAAAATCACAAGGGAGTCAAGAACACTTACCCCAAATTGTGTTAAAAAATTCCTCTCCAAGATCGCCCAAACCGAGCTCTAAAATCCAAAAATGGCTAAAAATAGCGAAACCCCGAACTTAAAGCTTTTGCCTAGCGTCTTCCGCATTTGTGGTCGCATAGTCGTATCTGCGGCCTCCGCTTCTGCGGAAGAAGCTCGCATTTGCGAGTCAGCCTTGGCCAGCAGTGGTCGCTTCTGCGACGTCCAAATCGCATTTACGGTCGCACTTCTACGCGAGTTGGGCCGCTTCTGCGATGCCTCCCAGCCAGCCTTCCTCAGGTCGCTTCTGTGACCAGTTTTCACGCTTCTGCGAGCCGCACCTGCGCAGGTGCGAAGACGCCAACAACAGAAAATTTCCAGCATTTCCTTAAGTTCGAATTTGATCCGTTAATCATTCGAAACTCATCCAAGGTCCCCCCGGGACCTCAACCAAATACACCAACAAGTCCTAAAATATCATACGGACTTAATCGAACCTCTAAATCACATCAAACAATGCTAAAACTACGAATCATATCCCAATTCAACCTTAATGAAACTAAGAATTTTCAACTTTTACATTAGATGCCGAAACCTATCAAATCAAGTCTGATTGACCTCAAAGTTTGCACACAAGTCATAAATGACATAACAAAGCTATTTCAATTTTTAGAATCGGATTTCGACTACGATATCAAAAAGTCAACTCCGCGGTCAAACTTCCAAACTTACATTTCTATTTTAGCCAATTCAAGCCTAATTTAACTACGGACTTCCAAATAAATTTTTCCGGACATGCTCCTACGTCCAAAATTACCATATAGAGCTATTGGAATCATCAAAACTAAATTCCGGTGTCATTTAAACATAAGTCAATATCCGACCAACTATTTCAACTTAAGCTTTAAATTTTGGAACTAAGTGTTCCAATTCATTCTGAAACCTCCCCGACAAGTCACATAATTATAATTGAACACAGGATAAGCAGTAAATGGCAGAACATGGCTGTAATACTTAAAACGACCGGCCGAGTCGTTACATTCTCCCCCACTTTAACATACGTTCGTCCTCGAACGTGCCAAGAGTTATTTCTAAGCCATCAAATCACTATTCCATCTTATCACACACATACCCGAGGGTGATCCCATGCCACCCTATTCCATATAGGCGTGACAATACAACATAATTGAAGATCATTATTTTAACTTTAGTCCAAAAACTTGGAAAAGATCCAAAATTCTTTTCAATACCCGAATCTTACATCTACACCCTGTATAAGTCTGAACAAGTTGTATCAAGCCATAGCCATAACCCCAGATATAATCACATAACATACTACACAACTCGCATGCTCGCAGCACCATTCCCGATCACAGT